TTCGCTCGGTTCAAAAATAAATAGAATAAAATTTAACAAAAAAAATGAATGAGATAAGAAAAAAGAGCCTGCAGTTGAATGAATTCCTTTGATGCTGATTTCTGTATCCGATTCTGCAAACCAGAACCATTGTCTGTAAAAGTGTGTCTCGCCTCGAATCGACGCCGCTGAGACATCACAGATTGCATTCAATAACCAACGGTCGACATGTCTTTGAAATGTATTCGCTTTGCTTGATGCGTTCATTTCTGTAAATTTCACACAAAATTTGGCGCTCATCCTCATCACTAATCCTTGCATTGTTAAAATAATATTTAACAGTTAACGTTTCTTTTTCCCGTCTCTCTTAATATGTATCAGGTCACAGTCATTTAATCTTCCTTTCTCGTTCTATTTTCCCTCTTTATATCGATCTGCCATTTCCTTTTCTCTTTATTTCTATGTATTCATGGTTAATACCGAAAACATTTCTGTCACTAAAATTATTAGATTCTTTTAAAATCATTTCAACACAAGCAAGGCAATAAAGCCACTAACACGCAAGCGATTGCTGAGAATAAAATTATCTACGAAAAATAATTAAGAAGAGGGGAATAATAATAAAAGGAAAGGGCTGAGGGGAGACAGAAGATAACGATTGTCATTGCATTTAAATCTTTGAAGACCAAAATCGACTAGAAAGCAAGAAGCAGGAAGAGAGCCCCCCAAGCGAGAAGTGCGGGATAAGTAACCTTTAACATAGAATCCATGGTTACATCTAACGATTTTAAATGCAAAATTATGAGACTTATCTGCCAATCTAGTACTGCGCTTATATTCGTAAAGTCGAGATAATACAGAAGAAATGTCAACAGAACATTTTCCATGGAAACATTTATAGAAAAAAAAACATACACACACGTGGGAGGTACGTAACGGCGATGGGAAATTATCTGAAGCCGAGATGTCAAGTGAGGTCTTATAACGTGGCAGATTCTTTGAGCTTTAACAATAATTTCTAAATACACATCAGAAACAAAAGATTGAATCGTAAGTAATTTTTGTTTTGAGGGACTAATTATAATGACGAGTATCTCATCCTATCTTATCCTTTAATATATCATAACACGCGATGAGAATTAGGTTGCATACAACAATGTTTAACGCAGAGGCAAGGATAAATCTGTTAATGTTGTGCCTGTGGTAGGAAACGTTGGGCTATTATTCAGTTCTTCTGGTCCTACGTAGCGTGTTCTTTCAGGACGTGGTCAATATAGTTCGCTACAGCCTCCTATCCCTTAGCAACGTTTTCCAATTTGGGAAAACTACTCCCGTCGCCCGTTTTGCAATTCAGTCCGTCACGTTGTTGATTCGCTGCCAGTCTCTATCCGTCTGGCGCTCCTTATGTCCTAATTTTTAGAACTTAATATTAAATGCGCAATTATACGTCCAACAGCTGCAAAGTGTCCATAAATCTTTGATCGATAAGCATTCTGTGCTCGTTACAGGAAAGAAAATGTTATTCTCCATAAAAACGCAAGGCCAAATCCAGAAATAAATACCTCGGGGTAGGGACGGGCTGGTACAAAAAAAAAAAAAAAAAAAAATACAATTTGGAACATGCTTGGTTTGTTATACCCAACCCGCCATATTTCCCTGACTTTATATCAGCAGACTGTTACATTTCCTTTTCAGTTGCTGCAAAACTTTCCGTTGAGGAAAACTTTTTCTAATTAAAACCAGATTCAATAGACCGTCGAAAACTTTATCACATCAAAACCTTCGGCATTTTCCTCAAAGGGTATCAAAGAGCTTTACGATAATTGCAAATACTGACGAGTACATAATGAAATAAAATTTTTAAAAATCTTTCTTCGGATGCACCAGTGATTTGAAATTAATGTTATTTTGAAGAAAAAAAGTAAATAAATGAACAACATTTAAAAAAAAAAAAGAAGATATATTCTATGTGCCGTGTCAGTTCGGGATGTCGGCGATTTAAGTTCTCCATAATTCACTGTCCTTTGTAGCGTTTAATAAATTTTGGCTTTTCGTTACTTCTCTTAAAACTTGTTCCTACATCCAGTTACACATGCTCGCTAGGTCGGTTATGCGTTGTTTTCCTTTGACACTATTGCCTTCAATCTACCCTGTGGGTATCAAATTCTCTAAGCCGTCTTTCCTCATTATGTGCCCTAGAAATTTAAACTGTCTATTCTTGATGCTAAGTATAATATCTTTTTTGTTTCCCTTATGTTCGGTCTATGATATTCTACATGTTTGGTCGGTGATATTATCAGCATCCTTCTGTAGAATCAAATTTCTGTTGCCTCAAGTCTCTGTTAGATTGTCTAGAATTCACTGTTATGGGTAGCCAAAACGAGGCTCGAGATCCACATGTACCTCATTGACCTTTAATTTGTGGCTCGTGGAAATCTGTTGACTGGGCTCCTTTTTTCATCGCATTTAATATAAGAGGTACATAAGAAATATTTGAAACATTATAATTATTTACTGGATATGAATTGAGGCCGCACTGGATTAAAATATAAGCTTTAAAATGTATGTAACAAAAACGTGTGTGTAAATCTTGTTCATATCTTGCGACTTTGAAACATCTGAAGTTTATTGCAAGTGGCTCTTACATTAAGTTTGGCCGCCCCAGATATAGAAGGACAGATCTGATCAAAAATTTAAGACCACTTGAAAAATATTTTTAAAAAGACTGTTTTTCATGGAAAATTTTTAAACATTTCTTATTTAAGGTTACTAATTTTATAATCTTATAATAATTTTATAATCTAAAAATGTAGACAAAAAGTTATAATCTGATCATATCCGAACATTTTATTGAGAAATTGAGATTTTTATAAAATGAAGCGTTTTACATTAGATCAAAATTATAAGACCAGGGGGCATAAATTGTTAGATCTAGGGTAATTCCAATGTTTTTAGTTCAGTTAGAGATTAGCAATAACTGCGTAAATATGTCACCATGCCTAAAGCAAGCAAACTTACCGAAGTTGAGCGTGCTTGAATTCTAGATTTCTATAATCAAGGTTTGTCACAGCGGGCGATCGCAGCTAAGGTAAATCGCAGTAAAGCTGTGATTTGCAACTTTCTAAAGGACAGTGCGAATTATGGAAACGCAAGTCTACAGGTAGGCTCCAAAAAATTCTCCGGTATTGAGTAGGAGAATAAGACCGGTGTTGTGAAAGCCAGTGGTCTTTCTTCTAGTCAAATTAAGGCAGCCACGGATGCTGATTACACTCCAGTAACAATCACACGACCCTTACGACAAAAAGGCATGGTAAATAAAAAGCGCAAACAAATTCCTCGGGTGCTTCCACGTCACAAAGTGAACCGTTTATGGTCTGGTCGTGAATACCAAACATGGGAAATTGAGAAGTGGAAGAAAGTCCTGTTTTCTGATGAGAAAAAAATTCAATCTAGATAGTCCTGATGGCTTCCAACGATATTGGCATAACAAAAACATACCTCCTGAAATTTTATCCACACGTCATAGTGGTGGAGGTTTCCTAATGGTATGCGGTGCCTTTTCTTACAGAGGAACGATGGGGCTCCAGGTGGTGCAGCGTCGTCAGACAGGGGCTGGTTAGGTTAACATGCTACAAAAAGCATCGTTTGTGACGGAGGGCCATCATTTGTGTGGGGATGGATGGTTATTCTAACAGAATAATGCTGCAATCCTCAATGTATGCCGGACCTTGATCTTTCTACAAGAAAATGGTGTCCATCGCTTGAGACATTCTGCATGCTCACCGGACTTGAACCCAATTGAAAATGTTTGGGGATGGATGGCAAGAGTTGTTTATCGAAATGTCAAACAATATTCAACAAAAAATGAACTTCCTGAAGCTATCTTCAGAAGCTGGAGCAATATTCCTCGCAGTTTAATGGAAGCATTAATTTCTAGCATGCCCCAAAGAATTTTTTGAAGTCATCCACATCAGTGGAGGTAGAACTCATTATTAAATTTGGTTGTTGAATGTTTTCGTCCACTTTTCGTACAATTTCGTAGAATTTTTTTGTCTGTTCTTATAATTTTGATCAAGTGTAAAACGCCTCATTTTATAAAAATGTCAATTTCTCAATAAAATGTTCGGATTATACATTTTGTCTACATAATCTTTCAGATTATAAAATTAATAACCTTAAGTAAGAAATGTTTAAAATGTTTCCATGAAAAACAGTCTTTTTTAAAAAATTAAATTTTTGATCAGGAGTTTATTACATATAAATTTAGTAGTCTCTTGTTTCTAACGAAGTTTTTCTGTTAATATTTCGTTGGGCTTTCGGCATCTTTGGCTAACGTTATACGCTTTCGATTTTTAGTATTGCTGCTCTTTCTGTCCTCTGTCAAAAGACTTTCTGATATGTAAATTGCAGTACTTGTTTGATTTTCCTATTTCCAATTCGTAATTTGCATCACATATTAAATAAATCTCCGTTCTGATGCTAAGATCACGCTTAGATTCCAAAGGCTATAATTTATCATGTTGAGATTAGAGGTGGCAGTGATTCATTGATGAAAGAACTAGGGCAACCCAAATCTGTCATAGCAAAATGATAGTATAATACATACGTTATACATCTGTTATAATGTATGCAAGTCAATGTTTCAACTTTTAAAACTGATATCGTAAAATCAGACTGTAATTTCTATGATAAAATACTTCATATAAATTTAACTTCATAAGAGTTGATTTTGTGAGAAATATTTACTTCAGTCCTTATTTACAGGTGAGGTATTTTATTACTCTTTTTGAAGATTGTTCATCGTATTTGAAATAAATATTTACAGTCGTATAGTTATAACTACTTATTGACGAATTTCAGATATATAAAGGTTAGCGTAGTTTGCAAGAAACACGGAATCTCAAAAGAGAAAAAAGATATTGTCAAACTGAGTGATATGTTTTTTACAGATTATCAACCTTTTGTAGGTCATTTAAAGCCAGAAAATATTTGTAGATCGCAAAAAAATTTGGGAGATGATTTTAATGATACAAGACAAGGGCTGAGAGACGGACAAGTGGAGACAGAGGTTGAGAAACAGATAGGGAGTGGGAAAGACAGAGGCTGAGAGACAGATAAGGGAAGGAGGAACACAGAGGCTGAGAGAGGGATAGGAGTAGGAGGAACAAAGAGGCTGAGAGAGGGATAAGAGAAGGAGGAACAAAGAGGCTGAGAGAGGGATAAGGGGAGAGAAAAGACAGAGGCTGAGAGAGGGATAAGGGGAGAGAAAAGACAGAGGCTGAGAGAGGGATAAGGGGAGAGAAAAGACAGAGGGTGAGAGAGGGATAAGGGGAGAGAAAAGACAGAGGGTGAGAGAGGGATAAGGGGAGAGAAAAGACAGAGGGTGAGAGGGATAAGGGGAGAAAAGACAGAGGGGTGAGAGATAGATAAGGGAGAGGAAAGACAGAGGCTGAGAGAGGGATAAGGGGAGGAAAGACAGAGGCTGAGAGAGGGATAAGGGGAGAGGAAAGACAGAGGGTGAGAGATGGATAAGGGGAGAGGAAAGACAGAGGGTGAGAGAGGGATAAGGGGAGAGGAAAGACAGAGGGTGAGAGAGGGATAAGGGGAGAGGAAAGACAGAGGCTGAGAGAGGGATAGGGGGAGAGGAAAGACAGAGGCTGAGAGAGGGATAGGGGGAGAGGAAAGACAGAGGGTGAGAGATGGATAAAAGGAGGGGAAAGACAGAAACTCTGAAACGGATAACAGGAGAGACCGAGCTCTAGAGACAGAAAGGTGACAGCGACTGGGAGACGGACAGGGGTTTCAGGCAGAGCCCGAATAACGACAGCGGGGAAAGAAAAAGTGGTGGGATGTACAGAGAGCAGAAAATGGTGGTGTGACGGGCAGAGGGGCAGAAAAGGCCGTGAGACGCGCAGTGGGGGCAGAAAGAGACCGAGGCACGCGCAGTGGGGGCAGAAAAAGCCCGACAGACGACTACTAAGCGGAAAGAGTCAGAGATATGAACAGCGATTAATATAGAAACATAAACAGGAAAAAAAACATAAAAACAAAAAACAAATCATGTAACACGAATAGATCGCCGGTTAGATACAAACTTACTTAGAACTAACTGCATTTCATGATTTATGAAGTCTATGAGATGTGGCAGTTCGAGATGTATGGACGAAAATAGATGCGAACATAAATGTTTGCTTGGAATGAAAGGAGAAATTACGCGGTTCAAGCCTTGCAGGAAAGGCCAAATAAGTTAACACTAGTTTTGTGATCTTTGTGTGTGTCCACATCAAAATAATCACAAGTGTTACAGAAGAGGAAAATATATTGGCAAACCTAATGGAACAAAGAACATCAGAAGCAATTCAAGATTCTGATAATCAAAGCGTAACTGGAAGGGGTGAGTAAGCTTTGTTGTAGGGACAGCTTTTGCTTGGGTCCGCGGAATTGGCAATTGGGTCGTGTCTTCCAGAGCATTGTGGAAGTTTGCGCCGTACTAAATCGCGGTGTAAAGAATAAATTTGTAAAACACAGAAAGGGTGTTGAGGGACCTCTGTCTTCGATATGCCTTGAACCTTCAAGGACGTAGGCGACCATGGCACTTCACAACTTCCCATCATCTGATGTTAATATGGTTTCCCTTTTCGCTATCCCTCTACCCTTAATCTGCAATCCATTTACACGGGTTCGTTAGATGGGGTACTCGCTGCTTTCCTTTAATATGTCCTTTGAGTGTAAAATTCTCCAAGCCCTCTTTCCTCATTGGGTATCATGGAAATTTCTTTTTGATTCTATAAAACTTCCTTTATCTTTCCAAATTCCTTAAAATCACCGGTTTATTCTCATGCCCAGTCTATGGAATTCTCAGTATCATTATTTAGAAGCATACAAATTTTGGTCTTTCAGATGATTACCGTAGCAGAGTCAGGTTCTGACTTAAAGAGAACCACAGACATGAATTTGAAACGAACTAAACGAAATAATTATTAATATAGTGTATTTAACCAAATCTTATATAGGAATAAACTATCACTGCCGATACTTGAGTTTGAACATAGATCACCAGTGATCAAACACAGGCGATCCCATTATTGAATTAAGTAAACCACGCGACCATGGGAGAAAGGCATATATAGGAAGTCGCGTGATGTCTAAATGATCGCATTTCTACTCTATCCTCTATTACTATACAGACCTCTATTCTCTACTCTATTCACTATAGTATTACTCTATTTGGAGCACTATACGGTGGTTACTATTCGAGCGAGTATTATCGAACAAGTACTATTAGTGTGAGTGATATTCAAAGGCATCTGACAGTTGTATTGTTCAACGGTTTTACTATAGTTGTATCTGCGATTACAAAGTCTCTACTACAACGAGCATCACAAAAGTGGAAACGAGTATTCGTTGGCATTACAAAAAGGCAACGAATTCTCGTTGAGATCACGAAAACAAAGGGGTACTGAAAATTCCTCGACCCGCGCCGACTGCCAAATCTGATCAAACTGATATATATAATACTTTTCTAAAGAAGGGTTAGTTTTATTGGTTGGGACAGGACATATTTAGCATTATATATATATATATATATATATATATATATATATATATCAAATGTAACCCCAAGTTAGGCAGGAAGCGCTCTGAAAAAAAAACAAGATATTACTGCGCTGGAAGAGTTAGAAACAGGAACAATTACTACGGAGCGAGAAAAGAGGGTAATGGTAGATTGTCATTAAATTTAAATTTTTCAAGAGCAAAGATGAATGGAAAACATGGAGTCAGAATAGAGTTCCACAAGCGAGACGTGTGAGCAAATAAACTGTTAGCATAGAATTTACGGATATATAAAGCCAGCTTCCACTGCAAATTGATGAGAACTTGTCTCCAGGCTAGTACTGCGCTTAAATTCAAAGAATCTAGGCACAATAGCGAAGAGCTCATCCGAACAATCACCATGAAAATATTTGTAGAAAAGTAAATGGAAGCAACATCATGGCGGTGGGAAAGTGACTGAATATATATATATATAATTCCAACGCTTCATAAGAGTTCTCATGTTTCAAAAAAAATCGCTTAAATAAATAATTTTATATATATATATATATATGTATGTATGAAAAAATATGGCTTTAAGGTGTGCTATATTTATGGGATAAAGTGATCAATATCAGAGATAGAGCGTATGTAAATATAAATATAAAAGTGAACATTGAAGTCAACACTTAGAGCCAACATGATCATGAGGCCGCGTGACGATTGCGTCTAGCATGAAACAGCCTGTCGCCTCTGGGTGTTGACATATATATATATATATATATATATATATATATATATATATATTAGAGAGAGAGAGGGGGAGGGACCTCCGTCGTTTTCGATGTTTGAGTGTATTTAAACTCATTTTTTAATACCGAACAGCAAAACTACTCGCACATATCATGTGAGTATCATGCTTGTGCAGAACTCACACCACTTTATGGTATCGACGAAAATATGGAACTGGTGTACATATGAAGGCCACAAGGTCTCCAAGTGACCACCACAGGTTTTAAATTAAGAATTGTCTTTCTCCTAGACCCAGTTGCCACCTAAGACTATTGAACCCATTCTGTCTTATTTATCCATAGCTGAGAAAAGAATTCATATCTTTCAAAAGGCTATTAGAACGTAAGTGAACGTAAGAAACTCGACGGGAATACGAACTCGGCTGTCCGATTACCCAATCCTACTCAATCACAGCCATCAAGAACCAGGATTCCCAGGGTGCTATCCCGACTACTCCCCTACAATCGGCCAGGAAATATGGAACTGATTCCTCCCCAACGGCCAATATGCTTCCGCAATGGGGAGAGGAGGGAGATGTAGAAGTCAAGTGACTTACCTGCCAAAATGGCTGCCTTCTTCGGTTTCCTTGTAAAGCAAGTCAGCTGATTTTACCTCATTTTATAGGAGAGTGCCCTATACACCAGTTAGGTTGATCCATTTTGCTAGAATCGACCTGCCCAATATATTTGCATGAGTAGTCTTTATTCACCCATATATTTCTCCATGAAATGACTCAAGTCAGTCTTAGCTTTGGCTACACTTGCCTACTTGTGTGTCAGACCACTGGCAAGCTAACCAATATTCAACAGACGCTAACCATTAATCCACTATAATATATATTATTTTAAAAGTTCTTTTCAAATTTCACATTGAAAATAAATTACCTCTTACGAACAAAAAATCAAATCGGAGCGATTTATTTCCTATGCACAGACACACATGCAACTTTCTCTCATATCTAACTTTTAAGCTTAAAGAATATAGGAGGAAAAAGCTTATTATAATGGAATAATTACGGTAATTAAGTCTTACGTACTGACCAGTACGTTTGTAACCGAATAAATTGCAGCTGGTGAAGAGTCAACGTCATGAGGACGCGTTCTGTCAGGTGAGGATGGGTCAAGATGATTTCTAGATCCACGTGATTAGGGAAAAAAAGGCGTTGGAGCAAGAGGTGAGTGGCTTGTCTGATCGCGTCACTCGACGATTTAGAACTAGCCAATGTCCTAAGCTGAAGCTGATTAGATGTGTCATATTGTGCAATCGGCAATTGCACGACCGTTGAGTTTAGTCGTCTTGGAAAGGTCACTGCCAAGCGATCAGGACAGGCTGAAAACTGACGTAATCAGGCGCGTGACCAGCAGTGTGCATGGTCAACTCCCCAGAGAGTAGGCAATGATCATGTAAATGACCCGTGAAGAAAGGCTTTTTCGTTTATTTGTCCAGACCAGTGTTTCTCAACCTTTATAAGCAACGGCACACCTAGGAGCAAATGAAAGTAGCGCAGCACACTTAGCAAACATTTTTAAAGCATATATGTTTAAATGTTATAAAATCAAACCATAGATTTAAAAACACACACACACACAAATATGAATTTGCTTTATTTCCATGATTCTATTCAACTATTTGTGCAGCTTAGTAAGTGTGAAAATTGTGCCTTTTGTTTTTTCGCGATTTCTTCAATGTTTAGTCGAATGTTCGATAAGCAGATCCTCATTTCTTTTGAATGATTATTAAAACAAAGTATTTAAAATAGCATCATCGAAGAATAGTGCAAAGAATTACTACTACTTTCATGCACACACACGCATATTATATGTATACAGACAGTGATAGATTGATAATATTAGTGTTCTATATATATATATATATAAATTCCAAGGGAATAGACTCCAGGTTGAACTCAATGTCCAGGACAGAGTAAGAATATAAAAGGCTCAAACACTAATATTCCATGGTTATAATTTATTACATTGGAATCGTAATCACGATCCAATTCATCAGATCTACAAATTCAAAAAGCATATATATATATATATATATATATATATATATATATATAAGTAAACCTAAAGAGACAGAGAAACCTACCTAGGTTTCACCTATGTGGGTCGTCAAGGGAAACTGGAGCCAGTTTACTTAATTTGCTCTACTTATTGAGCACTTTGCTTATTTATTTTTACTTTACTCATATCGGAGGCTTTTTTTTTTTCTTTGGATTCTGACCTTAGATTCTAGACGATTATTTTCGCCGAAAGTAAATGTTCTTAGTTCTTTCTTTTTTTTTACCTTGGGTATTGGTTTGTTCATTTACAAGCTAAAACACCTAAGGTTTTGTCGGACAAGTATAGCTGCTTATATTTATAAATTATTAGTATATATATATATATATATATATATATATATATATATAGTTACGGCAGAATTTCATGCGTTCATCGCGATTGGTGCAGGAACTGAAATGTAACTCAACACCTGGAGATTGTAAGTCTGCATTAAACTCCGGTTAGCTGTTATGTCACTATATATATATATATATATATATATATATATATATATTATTTAAGCGTTTAACCCCAAGCAAGGTGGGAAGCCACTAGAACGCAAGGTGTTACAGAAGATTTGGAGCAAGAGCAGATAGGAGTGATAAAGGAAAAGATGGAGAGAAGGAAAGTGGATAGATCAAGGCAACTGGAGATGTCTATTGACATTACATTTGAATAGTTGGAGATTATAGCTCTCAGGGGAACAGGAATAGGAAAGGGAGTTCCACAGGCGAGAGGTGCGTGATATGAAGCTATTGAAGTAGAAGAGACGGCTACATTTAATAGTTTCAACAGTTTGAGAGCGGGATGCCATCCTCGTAGGGCGCTTGAATTCATGAAGTTTGGGAACCAGCGAATGCAGCTTCTTCGGAGGAATTACCATGAAAGTATTTGTAAAAGACAGAGAGAGGCGACGGCGCGTCTGTGAGAGAGCGACTGTAGACGAGATGTCAGATCAGGGCTAATTATATTGAAT